TAATTTATAAAGAAAAGGGCTTTATTTCTTTCAGTTACGGAGGCTGAGAAGTCCAAAGTTGAGGGGCTGCATCTGGTGAGAACCTTCTTACTGGTGAGGACTGTCTGCAGAGGCCTGAGGCAGCATAGGGTATCATCTGGTGAGGGGGCCAAGCGTACTTATTTGGTCTCTCTTCTTAAAAAACCACCAGTGCCCACTAATCCATTACTCCGTGTATAGATTAATCCATTCATAAGGGAGGAGCCTTCATGACCCAATCACCTTTTGAAGGTCTTACCTCTCAATACTGCCTCATTGGGGATTAGATTTCAACGTGAATTTTGGAGGGGACATTCAAACCATAGAACTGGTCATTTATATACACATACAGATAACATATAATATTTATTATGAAATTGGAATTCATGCCTTTATCCCGTGCTTTGTCATTAAATGTTCTTCAGAAACAAATTTTTTAATATCTGTTCATTGTATAGATATACCTTAGTTTAACCATTCTTGTATTTTGAAATTTGAGAATTTGAGTTGTTTTTATTTTGCCTCTATTACAGTAAATATTTTTTGTATATAAATTTCTATATGTATTCTAAATCATTTTATTAGGAGAAATTTTTGGAAGTGTAATTACCAGGGCAAAGGTATAAGCTCTTCTTGATACTTATTACCTGCTGACATCCAGGCAAGTTATTCAAATTTGCATGTTCCCATTAGGAAAGTGTAGAAGTGCTCCTTCCCCTACAACCTCACTAACCATAGACGTTACCATTTAACAGAAAACAATTACATAGTCTAGAAAAGCATCTTATTGTTTAAATTATATTTCTTAGATTATTAGGTTAAATGTCTTTTCATGGCCCTGAATATTTGTTTCCTTATGTGACCACTCTCAATATGTTTTTATTGACATGAAATGAAATAATAGGTACACTTTAATTGAGGAAAATATTTTCAGAGGCCTGGTCAGTTTTCATTATTGCCAGTGATATTACTATTTACCATTCTTTTATAAAATTAGTTTTTAATTATAGTGTAAAATAATACGTTGTTAATGACAAAAGAAGAGTGTATAATTGACGCTTATTGCTTTGTACGTTTCCTAATGTATTATGTTCACTAACATAACAGAACTGACTGGTGGACTGGACAGTTTTTGATTTTGATCTTTTATAAATTTGCCAAAAGGCTT